AACGATGGCCCAACGTTAAATATACACCACAATTAAGCACTGGCCCAACGTTGACCCAACACAGTTGTATAGTTGGCACAACGTTGTAGTGAAGTAGTCGTTGGGCCAACGTTGCACCAACATGCTGGGCCAACATTGGGCTGATTTGCAAAAGAATGATGGCCAAACGTCATTTTCCAATGATTGCCCGACCAACCCTGATGCATTTGACCAACGTTGGGTCAACGTATTTCTGCTATCTGGGTTTAAACCGAACGATACTATAATCGAGAATATCCTACCCACAATTTCTGGTTTCCCGACACTAGATTTACATAGAAGTTACTTGTTGTCAATTTCTGGTTTCAGACATTAGATTTACATAGAAGTTACTTGTAGTCAATTTCTGGTTCCAGACACTAGATTTACACTGTAGTTACTTTTAATAAATTTCTGGTCCAGACACTATTTTACATTGCATTTACTTGTAGTCGATTTATGGTTCCCGACACTCGATTCAGATACGAGTAGTCAATTTCTGGTTCAACTCACTAGATTTACATTGTAGAAACTTGCAATCAATTTCTGGTTCTACATTGTAGTAACTTGCAATCAATGTGTGGTTCCTGACACTAGAGTTACATTGTAGTAACATGCAATCAATGTGTGGCTCCTGACACTAGATTTACATTGTAGTCACATGCAATCAATGTGTGGTTCCCGACACTAGATTTACATTGTAGTTACTTGTAATAAATTTCTGGTCCAGACACCAGATTTACATTGTAGTAACATGCAATAAATGTGTGGTTCCTGACACTAGATTTGCATTGTAGTTACATGCAATCAATGTGCGGTTCCTGACACTAGATTTACATTGTAGATACATGCAATCAATGTGTGGTTCCTGTCTCTAGATTTACATTGTAGTTACATGTAGTCAATGTCTGGTTCCTGACACTTGATTTTCATTGTAGTTACTTGTAATAAATTTCTGGTCCAGACACTATTTTTCATTGCATTTACTTGTAGTCGATTTATGGTTCCCGACACTCGATTCAGATACGAGTAGTCAATTTCTGGTTCAACTCTCTAGATTTACATTGTAGAAACTTGCAATCAATTTCTGGTCCTACATTGTAGTAACTTGCAATCAATGTCTGGTTCCTGACACTATATTTACATTGTAGTTACATGTAGTCAATGTATGGTTCCTGACACTATATTTACATTGTAGTAACATGCAAGCAATGTGTGGTTCCTGACACTAGAGTTACATTGTAGTAACATGCAATCAATGTGTGGCTCCTGACACTAGATTTACATTGTATTAACATGCAATCAATGTGTGGTTCCCGACACTAGATTTACATTGTAGTTACAGGCAATCAATGTGTGGTTCCTGACACTGGATTTACATTGTAGTTACATGCAAACAATGTGTGGTTCCTGACACTAGATTTACCTTGTAGTAACATGCAATCAATGTTTGGTTCCTGACACTAGATTTACATTGTATTTACATTCAATCAATGTGTGGTTCCTGACACTATATTTACATTGTAGTAACTTGGAATCAATGTGTGGTTCCTGACACGAGATTTACATTGTAGTTACATGCAGTCAATGTGTGGTTCCTGACACTATATTTCCATTGTAGTTACATGTAGTCAATGTCTGGTTCCTGACACTATATTTACATTGTAGTAACTTGGAATCAATGTGTGGTTCCTGACACTATATTTACATTGTAGTAACATGCAATAAATGTGTGGTTCCTGACACTAGATTTACCTTGTAGTAACATGCAATCAATGTGTGGTTCCCGACACTAGATTTACATTGTAGTTACAGGCAATCAATGTGTGGTTCCTGACACGAGATTTACATTGTAGTTACATGCAACCAATGTGTGGTTCCTGACACTAGATTCACATTGTAGTTACATGCAATCAATGTGTTATTCCTGACACTAGATTTACATTGTATTAACATGCAATCAATGTGTGGTTCCTGACACTAGATTTACATTGCATTTACCCGTAGTCGATTTCTGGTTCCTGACACTCGATTCAGATACAAGTAGTCAATTTCTATCTACAGACACTATATTTGATTACTTGTAGTCAATTTATGGTCCAGTTCCCTTGATTCGGTTAATAGAAGTCAATTTATGGTCCAGCTCCCTAGAATCGGTTAATAGAAGTCAATTTATGGTTCAGCTCACTAGATTCGGTTACTAGAAGTCAATTTATGGTTCAGCTCACTAGATTCGGTTACTAGAAGTCAATTTATGGTTCAACTCACTAGATTCGGTTACTAGAAGTCAATTTATGGTTCAACTCACTAGATTCGGTTACTAGAAGTCAATTTATGGTTCCAGACACTAGCTTTGGGTACTGGTAGTCAAGTTATACACATATTTATTTGGTTTCTACCAGCGATGCAAGGTTCCGGTCACTAGATTTGGAAAATTGACGTCAACGTACGGTGCCAAGGACATCATTGCGTTACTTCAAGTTAACGTTCTGGTCGCGAGACTTGATTTACCTGGTAGAAGTCAGCTGATGTCGTAGAGACCTGAGTTCTTTAACTTTTTGGTAGAGGATTGCCGATGTTAATATCCTTAGAGCTATTAAAAAGTATTAATTTTCAAAACACAACGCATCACTTCAAAAATTGATATTTCAAATTTAGTTTTGTCCAAAGAACACTAATCGTAAATGCATGTCTTCATTTTTAATGACTTTAATATGGTCCCATATATCATACTTTACAAACATATATTACATGATGAAACTGACCGTGGAATTAACTCTATCACTCTCCTGTACAACAGTTCATACATTCTGTAATAAACCAGCATATATTCTAGCTTGGAAAATTTTACAATACACACACACACATACAATTTTAAACGAAAGACACATACTAACACATGCATTAACACTTTCGTCTTCAGGTTATTTTAAAAATCATTATACAATTATGGACTTTTGTGCTGGTGAATATGATGTGATATGAACCTGAAAGAGTGATATTAACCGAGGCAAAGCCGAGGTCAATATCCCTTTTTTCAGGTTCATATCACATCATATTTACCAGCACAAAAGCCCATAACTATTTTATTAAATGCTTCAACAATAAAATAAAACAAAACAAAACTCAAGGTTCTGATTTTTGTTCGCGAGCCTCCGTGTAAAATAAGCCAGTGTTGAATTCAACAGTTTAGCATTGTAGCTTTCGAAGACATCGTCTAGATTCTTTTTCTTAATATAAGCATGGAGGACATGCACTGTGTGTTCAATGGCCTTTTTTATGTTAACAGCATATTTATCCTCGAATAGTTTGGGTAATTTTCTGTAAATTGTAGGAGAAACGTTCGCCAGCAGCCATCTTCTATTGTCATACTGCAAAGAAAAATGTCGCACGGTGATTGGTCGAATTGCCAAGGTACCTGAAGCTATCACTGAGAAACACTTAAGGGCGAAAAAATCAATTCTACGACTTAATCTACCTTATTATACCAGTAAACTTCAATTAGCATTGAATTTTACAAAACACAATCTAAATCATAAATTCATGACCCAACTTAATGACGTACCAGCTAAATAATCTAT